AATCCCTTCAAAGCACTATAGCAATATTAAATAATCCAAGTCTGCCTATTCTTACTGGCGTATTGCGTTATTGGTACGTAATAGAAAAATGCTCCCACATTCTGGCAATGTTTGATGAAATAACTACCGAAATAAGCGCAGAAAAAAACGTCGCCTTATCCAAAGTTGCGATTTTAACAAAAAAAATCTATTGAGTTACTGTAATCAGTTAAAACTAGACATTATTGAATGCTTATCTGTGGACTCTTCGTTGACAAACTCCATGAGCAGGTAACAGACAGATTTAAAAGAAAATATCGAAATTTAAGTACAGTGTACTCTCTCTTAGAAATTTTACCACGGAATAAACTAATAGAGCTTTACTAATAAACTGCTCTCTCTTATGCGGACTCTCCTGTAACCGGACACGGATACATAATTGTCTCAATATCTGTCGCTTTGATCTCTGTTAACCGGACACCGAGAATATTTTGTTCGACGTGGCGCCGCCGCCGCATTTGTCCCGAATGATGCAATATTGCACAGTATCGTTAGAGAGCCTGTCGGCATACTGCGCTGATCGCTGATCATTTCCACGTATTTCTTCGTAAGTATAGGTTTCTTTTCGACGTGTTATAATCTGTTTTGCTAATTAATATGTCGAAAAAAAAACGTATGTTAACGTTAAAGGAAAAAATCGATGTTATCGAGTTTTACAACGTAGGGAAACCTAGTGTCCGTGCACTGACTGATAAATTTAAAATTGGGAGAACAGGCAGCCAAAATTGTCAAAAATAAAGAAGAACTCTTAAGAAAGTGGAATTCAAATGTCAACATTTCGCAGAAACGAAGTTCCATTATCTGTTATTGCCGAAAGATGTAAAATAATGCACACCACTTCAGGAAATAGCGTCGACTTTGAAGAATATGTCATGACGGATGAAGACTTACTTCAGGAAGATGTCAAACTTGAAGATGATACTATCAACTCGCTATCGATCGAAACACATGAATTAGAGAAAGTGATAGAGATGAGGATGATAATATCCCAGAAGAGGAAGTTGGTGGGATAACACCAAACAAAGATGCTTTATTGGCCATTAAAAATCTTAAATTATTCAGTTCTAAAAGGGGAGACTTTGAGATGCTGAACAATTTAGAAGATCGCTTTCAAAATACTATATGTGCTAAAAATATTTGTGTGCAGAAAACAATACTCGATTTTTTTACTACTCGATAGTTTTCATACATTTTCATACTCGGTAGTTTTTATACATTCCTATACTCGATAGTTTTCATTCATTTTCATACTCGATAGTTTTCATATATTATTTTTAAATTTTTATACATTAGTATGTATGTAATAAATATATAATATTATCCTTCGACACGGATGTTTTATTTGATATAACATATCGTCACACTCCTTTTAAGCGGACATCTCCTATAAACGGACAGAAATTTAGTGACGAAAGATGTCCGCTTAAAGTAGAGTACAATGTATTATGTGGGAAACGACATTTTACGAGGAAGATGTTTTAAAACAGACCAAAGACAGTTTAATTAAAAAATGTATTAGAATTCGAAATAACAATAATGATCTACAAAAATCCAATGAAACTAATATTGAGCCTGTAGCTCCATCATCATCGGCATCAGAGCAAAACAAAATAGTAAGTATATGGTCTGATTTTGATTCTAAAGTGGAAAAACTCATCGAGAAGAGCGATAATAGCACAGCAGCTTGCCTCATTGAAATTGACAAGTATTGTCAAATGCCTTTACTCTCAAGAACAACTGACCCTCTTTTATGGTAGAAAGAGAATAAATCGCTGTTTCCCTGTCTTTTTGAAATTATGAGAAGAAGATTGTGTATTCCGGCAACATCCGTTCCTTGCGAGCGGACCTTTTCGAAGACCGGACAAATCGTTACTGAACGAAGGAGTCGCCTAAGCTCTTCGAAAATCAGCAAATTAACATTTTTGCAAAGCAATTTGCACTAACTTTTTTCCCATTTTATACAATATATTATACATACAAAGACACGGTATTCCAAATCTTACAATTTGTGGCGAATAACTTTCAGCTAATGCGAGCGCTGTTGAACCGTTCAGACAACGCTTTCTAGAGAAGCTTCAAGAAATGAAGTTGACTAATCAGCGATGATAAACACATCAAAGTCATGTACCTCCCCCTAATTGCACAGCAGTGCTCCAGCCAATGGACCAACATGTCATTCAAAACATTAAATTTCATTATTGTAATTCTCTTTTATTAAACATTGTGGCAGCAGCATTAAGGATGTAGTGTTTTCCCTAAAAGATGCATGGTCCATGGTTAGTGCCGACTTGATAAAGAACTCCTGGAAGCAATTATGGCCATCTCAACATGAACAAAACGATGAAGGATGGGAAGATTAAGATCTTGTCCCTCTTTTTGAACTAAGAAAAGAGTTACAAATAAATGGCAGTTGATCTCTGCAATAAAGTAGGAGAAAATGATATATCGTCGGAAGAAGTTCAAGAATGGTTATCTCAAAATGATGACTGTAGTCCGAGGCATATAATAATAACTCTAAAATGTGCCAAAGTGGTCTTTATCCCGTTGAAAAATGCAATCAAAATTTCTATATCGCCGCAAAAGGTTCCATATTTATAAGTATGAACGCGTCAAACGGGTCTATATCCAGTGAACCAATCAAATCTCTCGATATTCTACCCAAGGTTAATTCCTGTTGAACCGGTTAAAAATAGCGCGTTAGTTAACGATTGCGAAACTGTAGGGTTTTTTTAGTTTAAAAGTGATTGTGGTGTGTTTAATAATATTGTTAAAGGGTACTATAAACGAAAATATTACCCCTGCGCAACCGGGAAAAGCTAGACGAACGTCTGGGGATCGTAGCAAATGGAAAAGGAACGTTAAAAAAGTTACCATATGACGTTCGTTAGTGGTCATTTCTTGTATTAGTTTTATTATGGTTGTTTGTGACTTAAGCAGTAATTGAATGGTTATTGTTTCTTATTATCTATTGACGATTAGTAATGTTACCGCTAATATTGTTATTTTTAATTACTTAAAACTTTATTGCAAACTATCACGCTCTTTTCTTTTTGCAGGTATCAACCACCAGGTCCACCAACAACCCTAGTTGTAACCACTTTAACAAATCTTATAATTGCCGGAAATTAAGAATGAGGGATATTAAGGAATTCCACCAGAAGTTTTATTCCACGCGCGAAAAAATCCTCCAGGATGCCTTTATCATCAAATACGTCAAAGTAAAAACTGCAAAAAGACCTCGTAATATAAAAAGACCTACCTCAACAAAAAAGGTTAGCACGGACTTCTACATTCGAGTTTAGTGTACTGACGCATTTTGCCTACGGGTGTGTCAGCAAACTTTTATTAATGTCCTCCAAATATCACGCAAGAGAGTTCAGTCTTTAGCTAGAAAATTTCTGACAACTGGTACGATGCCTATTGATAGAAGAGCAAGACCCAAACCCATCTAGGAGAGGAGAAGAGCTGCGATTAAAAAATTTATAGAAAAATTAAACTGCTGTAAATCTGTGCACTACTCTCGATGAAAGTCCATACATCGGCGTTATTTGCCAGGAAATTTGAGTATTAATAAATTATATCGCATGTACAACAACGAGCAAATGGACAATCACTCAAATCGAAGAAAACCTTTTGGCAAAAAATTTTTACCACGCAATACAACATTGGATTTGGAGCACCCACCATGGATGCTTGCCCCAAATGCATAGAACTTAAAGCCAAGATCACGAAAGAGACCAATCCAATTAAAAATAAGTTAATGGCGGAACTTACTTAAGATCTCCTTACATTAAGTTTTGACTGCCAAAAGAACATGGTTCTGCAAAAAGTTCAAGATCAGACTGCCTACTATAGTAGACAACTTTACATCTACAATTTCACTATCGTTAAAGGGAGTTCAAAAGACTGCTTGACCCCAGAAAATGTGTATTGCTATTATTGGATGGAGCATGAACACAAGAAGGGCACTAACGAAATTGCATCAGCGGTGTACCATCTATTATCACTCCTTGATTTGTCATCCTATTCAACGATTAGGTTGTGCAGTAATGGTTGTGGCGTTAAACGTGTTTGCTTCCATAGAGAAAAAGTTACGTAAACAACCAGTAATTTTGGAACCAATAGAATATGAAAAATTTATGCAGAGCATTCCACTGTGTTTAAAATGAGCACTGACTTAAAGGTATATGACTGGAAAAGTTTAGTAGAGGCTCAAGAGGCTACAAGAAAACTACATCGTGGCATTTCAAGTTTAATGAAGCAAAACGTTTCATTCTTCAGCAAATCTACTCAACAAAATATCTTAATTAGAGGCGAAACATCCTACAACAGTGACTTGAATAATGGTAAATTGTCAAATAAAAATAAGGTCAATCGCATTACCAGATGAAATACCAATGGGAGTAACTTTAAAGGAAGGAAAAATCAGCAAAATCAAAAGCAAAAATAACTCACATTAATATAAACATATTCTAGAAGCCTATATTCTATAAAAACAGTTCTTTGTAAACACATACATTCTCTAGCTATGTTTGAAAACAGCAGCGAGTTTGTTTTGAGCACCTGAGAATAAAGAGACATTGAGAGCAAAAGTGACAAAGTGGTAACAAATTATACACAAAGGTCAAAAAGCAAAAAGTCATCATTATTAAATAAAATTTAAAAACACTTATACGGTCTCTGAACTCCCTTCCTGAACGATAGGTTTCAACAAACAACCTGCAATAATTCAAAGTATTTAGCTGATATATTGATTATATCTTTCGAGTATAGCACAAATTACAGAATAAAAGATAAATTTACATTCGTCAATAATATGAAAAATGTTCAATTTATTAAGGGTTGTAGCTTTTTGTTGTATATATTCTATTTTTAGCAGCATAATTTTTCTAAACGTTTTAACATGCATTTCGTCATTTATATTTTAATACTGAAAAAAATATCAAACTTTCAATACATACTTGTGATCGAACTATATTTTCCACTTCCAGAGCACACCGAATATTATCCGGAAAGGGCATTCCGTGGGTAATAATAGTAGACTCTAAAGCAACAATCGGTTTAGACTCAGCCAAAGCACTATTCACTTCATCACTAATTTGTAAAATTGTCTTATCGAATTTAGTCGAATATTCGCGGACCGCAAGTCTCAAAAACGAAAAGTACGAACAACGATGCATTTCAATTAAAAGAAAGACCAACGCGGATGTATTTAAACGCGATACTACAGAAGAAATTCGGAAGAAACTCCAAGATTATGGAAAGTAAAGAATTATTATTATTAAGATTTATCGTAAGAAAAAATAAACACTGATAACTTTCTATGATTATTTACTTTGGGGGAGAGTTGGGTAAAAGAGGCCAACTGGAAATTCAGGTTAATTTCAACTTTTACATTGATTCTATTGATATTATAAATTCTTTATTTTGAATTGGTGAATTCATTATAATGGGTGTGGGAAAAACTTGAAAAATTCGTGACTGGAAATCCCATGTAAATTTTCAAAAGGTCAAATATTATCTCCCCAGAGCAAGAGTTGTATGGGACTTTTTTGAAGAGGAGTTGAAGTTGTACTTTCGTCTACAATTTCGTGTCATTTGAAACCGACATTTAAATGTTACTTGCAAAAAGCTACCTTAAAATTTGTCAAATTTATAACACGGCCCAGAGAAAGCTATAATTAAAATACTAGCAAAAATGTGATCTTGTCATTGACAAATTCAATATCACGTTTTGTTTACAAGAATTTGAAGGTACCAAATAGAGTAATTTTTGTATAAAATATGATTTCCATAGCTTCCGAAAAAGTAACGGTGGGAAATAGCATTTTGTTGGAAATATTATCACCGCTGTGTTAGATAATATGTTCGCAACAGTCTCCGGACAGTTCTATACCGAATAAATCACAGTTTAAAGAATAAATCAGAAGTTTGAAATTAAAGACACAGTATTAAGCACATGGAAGTGTGAAAATAAAAATAATGAACAGGAATAAAGCACCATACCGAATAAATCAGAGTTCTATACCGAATAAATCACAGATTAAAGAATAAATCAGAAGTTTGAAACTAAAGACACAGTATTAAGCGCATGGAAGTGTGAAAATAAAAATAATGAACAGGAATAAAGCAACAACCTAGTTTCATACCGAATAAATCACAGTTCTATTACAGTTGAGGGTTGGAACCTTTGGTGTTACACAGCAAAATAAAAACACTAAATCACCACAATACACCAAAACACTTTTACTTTTACACTGGACGCGCGTTTCGCTAACCATGTTAGCATCATCAGCAGATGATTATAAACTAAATCACAGTTCTATACCGAATAAATCACAGTTTAAAAAATAAATCAGAAGTTTGAAACTAAGGACACAATATTAAGCACATGGAAGTGTAAAAATAAAAATAATGAACAGGAATAAAGCAACAACCTAGTTTCATACCGAATAAATCACAGTTCTATACCGAATAAATCACAGTTTAAAGAATAAATCAGAAGTTTGAAACTAAAGACACAGTATTAAGCACATGGAAGTGTGAAAATAAAAATAATTAACAGGAATAAAGCAACAACGATTTGAATATTCTTCTTCATGTTGAAGAAAAGAAAAACATGAGTTCCGCCTATTGGGGCGGGGAGGAGGGGCAGTAGGAAAGACAGGATTATTCAGACATTATTCAGGACACCGCCAATAATGAAGTCAAAATGAAGATGATTTATTTTATTTTCTGTTAGAATACAGAAATACACCGTTGTGTGGTTGCAGGGTATCTGAGCTTTTAAACAGTCGATTAATAAGAACCTTTTGTCTAAAGTTTACCTATTAATGATTGTCTTTTAAAACCTAAAGTTGTTAATATACAGGATGGTCCGAACTGCATTCCGGAAACTTCGGCAGAATATTCTGCAGATAAGTAAAAAGTTAGTTTCGGGGATACAGGGTGTAGAAGTTTCATTTTTATTTCGAGATTTTTTCCGAATAATTTATGAAGTAACGTCAATATTTGGATGAAAATAGGGATCTGGGAGTTTTTTGACCTGAGAAATTTGATTTTCATGTCAATATGACTCCTACTTGTAGAGGGCGCAACCTACATATTTTTAACTGCTTCAAAGAGTAATAACTTTTCGTTCGAACCTGTATAAAACTACTGAGTAAAAAAATATACACTTACGTTTTTTACGTAAAAAAACGTCTATTGATAAAAATCGCTACGAGTAATGGTTTTCGAGATATTTGGAATCGAAATTATCAATACCTGTCATCAATGACATAAACAAAACATGTTGACTAAATAGTTATTAGACTGAGATCATAAATTTGAAATGTTTTTGTGTCAAAAGTTCAACAGAAACTGTTTTATCATAATTTTTTTCGCAGAAAAAAATATGATTAATTTAAAAAATAAAAATTTCCCAAATTTATTATTTCAGTCATGTAACTAATCTACTCAACATATATTGACTATTTCCATTCTAAATATCTTAAGAACGGTTGCTCGTAGAGATTTTTACCAAGAGACATTTTTTACGTAAAAAGCCACGGAAATGTATATTTTTTAGTCAGTAGTTTTATACAGGTACGGACGAAAAGTTATTACGCTTAAAAACAGTCAAAACGCAAGTAGGTGGCGCCCCCTACAAATAGGAGTCATTTTGACATCAAAATCTAATTTCTCGTGTCACAAAACTCCCAGACAACAATTTTTATCCAAATATTGTCGTTACTTCAGAAATTATTTAGAAAAAATCGAAATAAAAATGAAACTTCTACACCCTGTATCTCCAAAACTAAGTATTTTAGGACATACATTTATACGATTTTTTTTACTTATTTTTATCTGCAGAATATGCTGCCGAAGTTTCCGGAATACACTTCGGACCACCCTGTATAGTGAATGAATGAAGTTCAGAAAGTGGAGATAACTAAAAACTATCATGAGGTATCAAATTAAGTAATCAAGTTAGGAAAAGAAGATAAATCTTGGAACCCAGGGAAAATAACAGAAGTAGAATCTATGCCGAGATCATATAGAATTACAGAGAGAGGTCAGAATTTTATAAGAATTTTTTTCTTTTCTTAAACCAAACCAATAATGAAACTATAATTAATCCTGATTGTGAAGTAGAAATAGCAAAGGATAATGTTGAGGAAAACCATATTGATAAACAACAAAAATGTTCATCTAATGTAATTAATACTAGATAAAGTTATAAAAAGCCACAATATTTAAGTGAATTTTATGCTTATTAGGTTCTATAAGATTTTTTAGATATTAACGTTCTTTTATATGTCATTAAAATTAATATTGATGGTATATACTTGAGAAATAAAGGCTATATTATAGACTTACTCTATTTCATAATTTGTTGAAATTGATGTAAACGTAGTCAATTTTAACATAAAATGTAAAGTAAAAACATTTGGCACAGGTTTATCAAACACATTTTAATAAATTTATCTAAAATTGTTGTTAAATAATATAATTTTTCATAGTAAAAAATTCTGATAAAATATACAATGTCAAGTATGTTCAATAGGAGCCGCATTTCCCCTGCTATTTTTACATGTTCAATACTATTTTTTACTTTACAAGACAAAGTTGTATGTTAGTCACTGATAGGTTTATCACTAGGCGTAAAATAAATATTAATTACGAATAGTTCAAGTTCAATGAATTCCCATATTTATCTTATTGTTAATCAAGTGAATACTTTTTCTTCCTATTTAGCAATGTAATAATACCATACGATCGAAAAAAAAACGGTGTCAAAGACGGCTGGGCAATGACAATCGATATTAATTTTTGCGAGGTAAAGCTCTAGACTTTAATTTTTTAATGGGGCTTACTGCCAGTTAGCCTAAAGAAGATTGTAATTTATATTGAGTAAAAGTCATTTTTAAATGGTGTAGTTTAAAATTCAAGATTTTTTATTTAAATAGATTTGTGTATCTGAAAACTATCCTTTTTTAATCTTTCTATAATTAGTGTTAATTTTTGAGGTTTGTTAAAAAACAAACAATCAAATGATTCTAGTTATATTGATATCACTGGGTCTAGTTATTGTTATAGTCGAAGGTTATAGTTAGAGGTTAAGTTGGTTGTCAATTAAAGCGGCGTTCCTTTCAGGCTTCATTTTGTTCTTAATAGATTTAATAGTTTGTTAGAAGCTTATGAACAATATTTTACGTTCAGTTTTTTAATCAGCAATATACAACTAAAGTATCTGCACAAGTTTGATTTCTTTCTTGGCTTTGGGATTGGCATACACACTCTACTCAACAAAGTTTTATGTCAATTTTTAGTTCTAGTTGGTCTTTGAAGCTCCGTCACGTTGGAACCCGCTTTAAAGTAAACTTTTCCTTTTTTGGCCTATTAGCTTTAATATATGACCAACGATGCAATTGATTGTAGTAAATTCTATTTTTTGTAGAACTAATAATTAGTCAGAAAAAGTAAACAATTGAGCGCAGTGTAATAAAGAGAAACAATATTATTTTGACAAATGTCTAAAAAATCTTCTACAAACAATTGCTTGTAGTTTTATGTAGTAGCAAAAAACTCAATAAAAGTTTCTCGGAACTATAGAAGTATAGTAAAATTTGGGAATTAACCTCGTTCTACATAATGTCTATTAAATTGCGCTAAACAAACTCTATTAAATTGCGCTCAATTGTTACTTGGAAAAAATCGAAATAAAAATGAAACTTCTACACACTATCTCCGAAACGAACCATTTTAGGACATAAATTTATACGAACTTCTTTACATATTTTGATCTGCAGAATATGCTGTCGAAGTTGTACAGTTTCTATCACTTTTCTCAAAACTAGATTTTCCTGACTTTCTCAAATAAGTCATTCAATTATTAATTACATCCTAACACTGTACTGCATATCCGCTTAAGGCATTAGGAGGAGATTCGTTAGTATCAACAGACAAGCGTGTTAACATTAATCTATTCGTATTATGATTATAAATTCTTCAAAGACCCAGCAGGTATGACACATGATTTTGAACACCCTGCAGCACCCCACTAACCCAATCCAACTCATATTTTTCATACATCTGTTTTATTATTTAATTTTAAATAAACCAAACCAAAACACCTAGTACCTATTAGTTTTGTAAATATATTAAAATTATCCTACCTAATGTATACAAAATAGAAAGTTGAGCACGAAGGGATGCTTTCACACGCTTCGTTGACCTGCGAAACACTTAAAATACCACCCTTGAAGGCCATGTGTT